ACAATCAACAGGAAAACTACTAGTTTCCTTGATGATTGCTCTACTTCTAGAACATTCCAGCAAATGTAATCTCTATATATTTAGAACACAATCATTTTCGCAATGTACCTTTCATGCAAACGTTGTGACATGCCTCTTATGTGATATCATTGTTCAGAATAATGTTTATTTTTCTTGTAATAGGATGTGATAAGGGCACTTATTCTATTGGTATAGCTATATCTCATATAACCGCAGCTTCGCAGCTGCACATGTGTGTACATTTCCCACAGCAATTACACTAGAAGCAGTTAAAACAGAAAAAAGTAGACTGTATAATAATAATAATAATAAAATATTTTCTCACACTTGTCCAAGGTAATATGGATTAAAATTTGAGAAAATTTGATATGTACATTATTAGTTTTATTATGATTAATATTATCATATATAGTGCCAACATTTTTTTGTGATTTATTAATATTTATAGAATGGGGATATTTAACAAGTATTTATCATGCAAAAATAACGCTCCGACTCGAGAGGTGAATAAGTATGATTTTTTTTAACGTAAAATGCAGGCAGTACTTCCTATAGCTGTGCACTCTTATTTTTTTTAATTTTTTTTTTTTTTTACAATCTTTATTTTTGCACAAAAACGTACAATAAAGAACAGCAGACAAAACAGATTCACCGAAAACAGCATATAAAGATTTGGTAATTAAGATGTATTATAATTAGATTTGTACACAAATTTGAACAAATCAAATGCATGTCAATCTATGGACAAATAGTTTGGTTAGGCAAATCGCAAACAAATCGATTTCATCTATAGATTGACAGTCATTTGATTAGCTCAGTGCAGCTAAAAGGGATTTTTCCATAACTCTAGTTACAATCCCAGTTAAATAATAAGATCATGCAATAATATCATATATGATATGAAGAGACTTTTGTTTCTTGCCTTTTAATAAAGGTCTATTTATAAAGAGTTCTTTAAAGACATATTGAGAGCAACATACATTGTTCTTTAAAGATATACTGAGAACAACATAGAGGGAGGTATAGGGGAGGAGACGTGATGTAGAGTAGAAAGAAAATAAAAAGTGGGATAGATTAGGGGATTATCCATGGGTGGGTCATTCAAGCACTGGATTGTCTGACCACTCTGCACCAGTACGTAATTGAGAGTTATAAAACAGCCCACCAAAGTTGTCAATCAGGCACCCTGAGACTCTCAGATTTAGGCTACATGTATTACATTTGTTCAAACTGTGCATTTGGTTAGCAATTTTGGCAAACATTTAACTGGAAAGTGTGAACCAACCTTGACACGTTCAGGTCTATTAATAACATCTGATAACTTCTCCAAAAAGCAAAGCATTTCTCAGAATACATATATAGACAGACAAGTATTGTGTTTTAGACTTCATACAGCATTTATGCATAAACCTTTAGCAATTGACATGGTTTTAAACACAGTTTTTTGTAAAACCTAAGCATTGACTATGATCCAAAAGGACCAGTCACAGGAAATCAGCCACGTACTGCAGTTTGACCATATGGGTCTCATTAGCATAGAGCTGTTTCTGGTCTGAATGTTGAAGTCTCTCTAAAAGCATATAGGTAGGTACCAAAAAGATTGTAAAATGAAAGAAAAAAAACTTATTTGGGTACTATCTAATATCCCCGTGCAATTAAAATAACACAAGGCTTTCTGTGCACTCCAATGGCCATTAAAGCGCAAGCTTCTAAGGCAAATCCTAAACTAACAATTCAAAGTGTTGCTTTCAGCTAACTGCTCTAATGTTTGCCTTTTAGCTGATAGGGTACCAAAAAGTCTGTGGTGAGACCATCTGGATATCTCGAGTTCCCAGCTTGACATGCAAATGAGTACAGACAGGCATTGTATTTAAGACTTTTACTGCATTCCTGCAGATACCCTTAGCAATGGATGCTGTTTTAAACACAGTTTTAAAACAAAAAAACCCCACCACAACCCAAAGCATGGTCTATGATCCAAAAGGACCAGTGACCAGAAATCAGCTATGGACTGTAGTTTTGACCTTGTGGTCTTCAGAATGACGCTGAAGTCCATGGGTGTCACGTATTCATCTGCACATAAAAATGTGGTTAATGGCATTTACCGTCCTGACTGGAAAAGTTGTGCCGAGCAGCAATCATGCACATGGAAACCTGGTAATTGCTTTTGGGGTCAAAGGCCAGTTATGGCCAATCAGATCCACAGGAGGGTTTGTGCTGAGCAGCAATCATGCACATGGAAACCTGATAATTGCTTTGTGGGTCAAAGGCCAGTTACGGCCAATTGGATCCACAGGAAGGGTATTTAAAGCCAATTCTCCTTTTGCTCGTTGCCCTGTCATGGTTTCATCCCGATGGTAATCCGAGAGTGTGTTTCTGATCTTGATTTTCTGGTATTTAACTTTAG